TATTTATAAAATATGTAATTAATAAATATAATTAATTAATTTTAGAATAATACTAAAGCTTTGGGCTCTCAGCAAACTATTGCCAATATGTTACAACGTGTTGCTCCTCACAAAGGGATCAAAAAAACTAATATTTGCCGTGCAATTACAGAGTGGCTTATTGTTGATAATCATTCACTTGACACCATCAATGGAGAAGAATTTCACCGGTACATGCTGCAAATTGATCCTGCTTTCCGCCAGTCTTCTTATAAAGCACTAAAAAAAGAGATATCATTTGAAAATACAAACGCAAGAAATCAAATACATGAGCTTTTGGAAAAAAGCAGTGAAATGGTTTCTTTAATTACGGATCTTTGGACTACAAGAAATGGAACTGAATATATTGGGATCACAGCACATTGATTGAGTAAACAATTTGAATTAAACGAGATCTTACTTTGCTTGGAGTCGATGCCATATCCACACGTCAGTCAGATGATTAGAGAATTTCTCATTCGTAAAGTTCAAGATTTCAATCTACAAAATAAAATTTTGTGTGTTGTTACAGATAATGGCAGCAATATGGTCGCCGCTATAAGAAATTGAAATGGTGTGGAGAGATTATCATGTACCGCACATATCTTGCAATTATCTGTTAATCGTACCCTAAAAAAAAACCATCAGCAAATTCACTGAATTCGAGAATTGGTCAAGTTTTTCGACTCACCCAAACAAAGTCAAAGATTGGATGCAGCACAAATTGAAGTATATAAGCAAAAAAGATGAAATGACATATCTTTACATGATCTAATTTTATCAGAGAACTCCGATTATGATGGTGATTCAGAAAATGAGATGGCAACCAATTATCCTATTGATAAATTTATTCCTACATTAAAAAATGTCAAAGATATTCCAACCCGTTGGAATTCTAAATATCGATCATGGAAGAGATTAATTGAGCTATGACCTGCAATTAGATGACTTTCAGCAACATTGTCATTTCAGGATGATCCAGATGCATGAAAAGATGGATGAAAACTGCAACAATTGATATTACGAGAGAAAGAGTGGAATTTTGTTCAAAAATTATTCAAGCTATTAGAACCTTTTGATAGTGTTACTGAATATTTCAGTGCTGGACAATATCCTACTATAGCATTTATTCATCCTTTAATGGAAGCAATGAAATTTCATTATGCACAAAGTGCAAATATTGATGAGAATAGTTATGAAAATGAAGGTATAGTAAATTCTTTATTAATGAATTAATTAATTAATTTATTTATTTTATTTTATTCAATATTTAATTATATTAAGGTTCTCAAGAAATACCCAATTTTGATTCAGAATCTGAAGATTCATCTGATTTATCTGAAAGTAAAACAGTTTTGTTGCTCTATCTCAACATGATACACGATCTCTTGATGATCAAGAAAACCAATTAGAAAATAATCATGAGTTAATTATAAAAGAGATACAAATGACTATTTACAACTCACTATTTGAATATTGGGACCATTCATCAAAAATTTGTCTTCTTGTTATATTGTTGGATCCCTAATTGAAAGAAATGATTTTTGCAAATGACGAGATTCGTAATAATACTATTCGTGAATGTCAGCAACAACTTCATCAATTAATACAACTTCCAACCGAAGAACATATCATTTCATTTAGCTCAACTAGCTTCTCTTCTAATAACATGTTTGCAGATATTATATTTGGCACTCAAAGATCAAGTTCTCTGGATGAATTAGATTATTACCTTGATTTTAGATGGACACCCGTGGCTCTTCGTAATTCAGATCCTCTTTTGTGGTGGCGACAACAACAAACTCAATTTCCGACCCTTTCAAAATTGGCACGAAAATACCTTGATATTCCTGCTACCTCTGTTCCCAGCGAGCATCTTTTTTCAGATGCTGGCAATCATATTATTCCACAATGTTCCAATTTAAATCCAAAATTAGTTTCTCGAATGCTATTTCTGAAAAGAAATGATGATTTTGTTAACATGTTTTCTAGTTCTCACCTGTATAAACAAAAAAAAAAAGAATTAAATTGAGAATAACTTAGCTTTTTTTTTTGCTTTAAATAAATAATCGCATAATGATAATGATAACAATTCAAGAGAAATTTGTTTTTACGATTTTTAAAAAACTTGCGAGTTTTTTTAAAATAGAATTTGTTTTTTTTAAAGCTAAATATTTACATTATTTATTTATGTAATTAATATTTTGTGGAATTGCCTTTAGCTTTTTTGACAGCATTAACACAACAAGACATACTTTTTATAAGATTACAGTAAATAGATTAATCTAATTTAAATCACTCATCCTCCAAAAAATTAAACAATTCGACCTCATTAGTTGATAGTGAAGTATATTTACGAACCCAACATTCTAGTTCATCCCAAAGATTCTCAATGAGATTGAGATCAGGACTCTGGGATAGTCATGGAAGACAAGTTACGTGATTTTCTGACATTCATTTTTGCATCTTCGTTACCTGATGAATTGGCGCGTTATCATCCTGAAAAAAATATTCATTTTGTTGATTAAGATTTTTAAATATGGTAATAAATAATTATTAAGAACTTCTATATAATTATTTGTATTTTGTCATCCATCAAGTCGTATTAGCAGATCCAAATCATTTAAACTAAAACATTCCCAAACTATTATACCTCTCTGACCAGATTTAAATGTTGGTATAAGATAGTTTACATCACATTTTTCTTTAGGAAATCTCCAAACACCTCAAAATGAGATTCATCACTCCAAACAATGTAATTTCATTCAAAATTCCAATATAGCCTTTCATCTGTCCATGCAAGACGAGTCTTTCAGTTTTTTTCACTAAAAAATGAATTTCTCTTGTTAATCTGAGCAAAAAAACCTTCATTATGAATATACCGTTATATAGTGCATGTAGAAACTTCAATGGATGTAGATTGCAAAAATTCATTTTGTAAAACATTTAAAGTAACTTTTCTATCATTTTTGATAATGCGAAATAAATGTCACATATCATGTTTAGTTAAAGTAGGTGATCTTCCACTTCGAGCAGGTGATTTTATTTCTCCAGAATTCTTATAATATGTAATTACATCTTGAACTGTTGATTTCGCGAATCCAAGTTTTTCTATGATAGTAGAATAGATGTATTATACCGTCAAGCACCAACGATCTGACTTTGTTCACTTTCAGACAGTTTTTTTCATTTTTGCTTCATTGTGAAGCAATTACTAACAAAAACAAAAAACAATTGACATATTTATAAAGTATGGGTTACAGATATACTAACTATCTAAATCTCTCAAAGAATAATTTAACAATTACGCGAAAAGAACAATTTAATATTTCTCTTGAATTGTGAATCATTACCAAATTTGACCATTTTATATTCTGATCAACCCCAGTTAACTGGTTGACCCAGTTGAACTGGGTCAACCGAGAAAAACTCAGTTAAACCGATTGGACTCAGTTAGGATCGGTTCAGTTAACCAGTTAATGATTTGGATACCTGGTTCAAGTCACTAGTCAAAATATATATGCAAGTTAGATGGGATCTTTTTTTATTTTTTCCGGAATAGAGTCAGAATATATAGGCAAGTTAGACGTGATCTTTTTTTTTATTTTTCCGGAATATAATCAGAATATATATGTAAATTAAACGGGATTTTTCTGGAATAAAGTCAGAATTTATACGCAAGTTAGACGGGATCTTTTTTTTATTTTTCCGGAATAGAGTCAGAATATAAGTGAAAGTTAGACGGATATAAAATTAT